CTCGGTCGTGCCACGCAGAAGAATAGAGACGGTGGATCGACCCATCTGGGAGATTGGACTGGCTTTGAGAAGAGGATTGACGATGAGATTGAAGAAGAGGTTACGGTTATTAAGTTTGAAAGAGGTGCTAGATGCTGGAATGGACCGGAGAGAAGTGCATATGTTTATTTGAGGTGTAGTGCTGAGGAGGCGGTACTCAGCGTCGCAGAGACAGAGAAGTGTGTGTATAAGTATGTGGCCACTAGTCCCGCAGTTTGTGGGGAAGTTTTGCAGGGACAGGAGGGTGTGACGATGGGAGAGGCGGTTAGGAGCTAGGTAATTGTCAATGAACGATGGTTAAGTACTAAGAGGATCCTTGGGGAGGTATTTTGGAAGATTAGGAGATAATTGAGTATATACTATTTTGTTTTTGCCAAAAAATTCAATCGAGCAGGCTTTTTGCTATCAAGACGTTAGTCGAGAAGAACTTGGGAAAGGACGGGCGAGAACCGCCCCCTTTTTTCCCCTTCTAATTTTTTTGTTACTCGAAAGTAGAAGAAGTTATCTATGAAGCAAAAACACTATACAAGGATGAGTCGCTTTGCCAATGCACGTGCTTGACAGACTGAATGGAACACATGATATAGGTACACATGAACAATTTAATAGAGAACAAAAAAAGAGATATGCGTGCAACGGAGGCAAGCATATCAATAACCTTGTACAAATTCTTCTCCCAAGGCCGGGAGTAGAAGAATCTAGCCGAAGAGAAGAGGAGAAGAAGAAGAGGAAGAAAGAGGTAGGATGAAAATATCATAATTATCATGGTTCCCAAAAAAGTTTAACATCAAAAAAATAGAGAAAATTATGTACCACAAACTTCAAAAATGAAATAGAAAGAAAGACATTAGATCTTAAACACAATGAATGAATCGTATGAAAAAGTGAAGTGAAAGATGAATGGAAAGTCGCTCAAAGACTTCGCGCGACGGAAAGAGTAGTCGCAGCAGAATTGAAACCAACCATAGCATAGGAAAAAAGGGCTCATCAGCCAGGCCCTTGTAGAAAAATATCTCACAACCTCACCTATCTATCTTCAAACAAGCAGGTAAAAAAAGACACCTTTTTAACTCTCAGCTCCACCGGAAGAATTCAGTGGCCACTGTGGATTCCCCTAAAACCCACGAGCTTTATTCCTCCACCGGACCTGATCCAGTAACTCCCCAACATTTCTTAAGTTTTGCCTTATCAACCGTGTCCTCAGCGCCCTAACTTTTCTCTTCCTAGACTCCCATTCTTCCTTTCCAAGCTTGAGAACCCGTAACCAGGTCACAATCTCCTCTTCTCCGTCTTCTTGTAGCCATGCACCATCGGCTTCGATGTAGGCGTACTTCTCCACTAGTTCTTTGGTAGCGACGAGTGGGACTCCGGCAATAACGCTGGTAGCGATGGTAGAGGAGGCTCGGTCTTCAAAGTACTTGTGAGTCGCGAAGGCTGGGAGGATGGCCATACTACGGGATAGGAGAGAGAAGTATTCTGGGAAGTCGTAGTGGGAGTGCATGAAGACGCGATCCTTCAATTGCTCAGGGATCTCTGGAGGCCAGTCACCGTAGCCGGGGAGGCGGAGGGTAGCATTGGTGGAGCTGATGAGGTCAAGGTGTTTAGACATATGTTCGAAGATAGCTTTGTAGTTACGGCGGAAAGGTTCATATTTGCCCTGCATTCGTCAGTTGTTAGCACAGTACGATAAGGTTCTTGAGGTTGTGGGGGGCTTCTTACCGGGATCGCAGCGAATGGACCGGTGATGTTATTGAACATTTCCTCGCGGAAGAGCTTGTTATCCTCAAAAATCGGAATGAAGGGCTCCATCATAAAAACGCCCCTGTTACCAATGCCCTGGGCGTCCCGGAGAATGGGTGCCATCTTCCACTTGGTCTCGATATTCTGCCGAACATACTCAGCCACGTGGGGGCTCAACGTCATAAACGTAACCCTGCCCTTCTCAACCCACGGCATCAAGAACTTTCTCCAGTTCGTATCGATAGCTTCCCACTCCTCGGCTTCGTGCAGCAAGCACACAATCTCCTTGGGTGCCCGATACCATTCCGGGTTATAAACCTTCTTATCTTTGATGGAAGACCACTCCAAATCTCGCGAACAACTCGTTAGGATCATTACATCTGCTACAAAGTTCATCTGGCTCAAAAGCCTCGGGTCCGACACCTTGACCTGCTTCTGAGTACCCTTCTTTCCGCTCCATCGTGATAGCCAAGAGCTATCCGTGGGAAGCTGATTGTCTAGGATCGGCCGTACTCCCAACCGTGTACTCCCATACTCTGTTGCAAATAGCTCCAAGTGCTCAACCGCATCTCCTTGGTTCGCGAATGCGTATAGCAGCGGCGTTACGACTTCGAAATGGTACCGCGGGGTGTTCACCAATGCAATTTTAAGGCCAGGGCCGCTGTGTTTCGGTGGCTTCCAGGGGTCGAGATTGGCGTTTGACGTGTATTCACTGATAACTGTGATGGTGTGAGATGAGAAGGAGAAGTATGCGATTAGAAGGGCGACAGCGACAAGGATTATGAGCCGCTCGCGGCGAGGCAGTCGCCGAGGGATCATTATGAGGTTACTGAGGGATCCGGAGTTGCCGACTTTCGACATCCGCGATTCTTTAGTGGCGGTAGAGCTCCGGGAAGGCTGGGAATCAGATTCGTTCCTTCCTGGCGAGCTTGCAGACTACCGGGAGAAAAGGCCGACTCAATGGAAAAAGACAAGCAGACAGTGTCCCACAATTAGGCTTGAAACGAATGATAGGTCGATATGTAGCGAGAGACTAAGGACAACAGGACAGGCTAGCTGATGCGATATGTGTTGTTGGTGATGCTGGTTGTGGATTCCTGGATTTCAGCTATCGGCATTATATGACGACCGGGACCTTCTAGGCTGGTGGTTGTATGTGTAGCAAAGCAGCTCGAAGGGATTCCCCTGAGGTTAGTCCTATCTGGGCATCTGCTATGGTATCCTCTCTATTCGTTTGCAAGGTCGGTGGTACACAAGTCGGGTAGGTTGGAAGGGAGGTGGGACAGCGGCACAGGCGAGGGAGGTGCAGCAGAGGGCAGGTGAACGTGTGCTGCTTGTGAGGTCCACGCCTGGGAAATACGGATTCGGGACGGAAGCGGTGACTAATTGGCCGGCCAATGGCTTAGGTATGGTATGCAGGTGGGTATGTTCCTGTTCCTGTTCCTGTTACTGTTCCTGCTGTGTTTCTGGTTCCGTCCACGAGAGGAGAATGAGAGTTGAAGGAGGTTGAGAGCGTGCCTGCAATTCGGACATGTTGGTATGGATTTCACTGAATTGATGATGATTTCGAATAGAAGGAACAGGAGAAGCAGGAGAAAGATGGGGGAATGGACGCTCACCTGGCTTGCTAAAGGAGTGTAAGATGAAGCCGGGGTACTTTTCAACAGCTGGAATGGATGAGAGGACCAGCTGTAAGCTTCACGGCGAAGTAACTGTCGTCTGCTGTTTCGGTGAAGTTGGTTTGTGACAATGGCGATGGCTGACGATGAGGAGTAGTTGTAGCAGTAAGGGAGTGATGAGAAGAAGAGAAGAGGAGGAAGAGTGGAGTTGAAGGAAGTGAGGTCGAGGGTTCAGGGAGGCCGCGTTCTGAGACGGAGCGGAATGGTGTTTCTGTTTCGCGGTGCTGTCGAATGCATTCAATCGATCAATCCATCAATCAAGCAATCAACAAAAGGAGTTCAGTTCCCACCAACATTAACAGATCCTGACTGGAGAACCGGACAGGGGCCTTCGGAACATACCTGGCCTGTTATAGCAGTTCAGATCTATTCTTACATCAGCAGCAACCGCGAAGGTGCCAAATGTTTTATATCAAGGACGGTACTGGTGGCCCACGAAACGACGGGGAAGAAAACGAAATTCTTGATCGAGGCTGAATGACGGACAAAGCGGTTCGGCTCAGCCTTAAAGGATCGATAGATACTAAGTACTTCTATCGCTACTGATCGAAGACCTCTTGTCAGATAGTCCCCTCGACGAGCCTCCTTTTTGGGCGTGTCGACGGGATGGCCTCATGAAACATGCCCTTTTTCCGCATACCAAATTGGACCCCCAAAAGCATGCAATTTGCAGGCCAAAGCTGGACCCACGGAACCAGCCCAAATCCCACGCCACGGCCCAGTTCTTCCGCCGTCTTGGGTCGCTGCCTTCCCTCGATGACTTTAACCGCGCTGATTCGGCCCTAACGCTAATATAATTAATACCAAGAGAAAATCCTTTTAATGAGCTTCATCTGATATTCGGCAGAAATACTTTATGTTATACGAATTCTGCCTCGTCTATGCCAAGACTTCGCGATAGAATTCAAGACATTCGGTTTGTTTCTCCGAAAAGGACATTTGACACCATCAGGCCTACAGGATCTATTACGATACGACTAAGCAAGGAGCTATCAATATTTTTGGCTACATATGCATCGACGCTATTTCAGCCGTAACGACACTCCGGCAGCTGTTCCGTCCTGCATTACGACGACTGGCTGCCAGCCGTTTCCGAGCTCCACCCTGCGAATAAACACGCCAAGCATAACGAAATTGAGAAACACAGAAAAGCTTAAAGCTTTGAAGAAGCTGTCTTGGAGCTTAAATTTTTTTTTTTTGCCAGTTCGTATTGTTGAAATTAATTTCAGTCTCGTGCGAATCAAAAACATTCAACAGCTGAGGTGGTTTTCATGCCAGTTGGTTCGAACTAATATACATACTTCTTCTGCAACTATGTCGTGCTCAATGACCTTCTCTGAAATTCCGTTGATATTTCGTCTCATTTCATTCCCTCATTTGCTACCATGCGACCTTCTCGACATCGTCATCGAGGCCACCCAGGTCCATTCCCACACACGTGCTCGTTTTTCCACGGATCCTGATTTGACAAATCTCGTTTGGTGGACTCCTCTCAAACCTCCAAAATACACCAAACTCGACCTCGTTCTTCCAATCACAGAGGGCACTTTGGCGGAGTGGTTAACGCGCCAGCCTGCTAAGCTGGTACCTTCGGGTGCGTGAGTTCGAATCTCACAGGTGTCGCTTTCGGAAGTTTTCTTTTTGCTTTCCTTCTTCGTGATACCAAAAATGCAACATGCTTTTTTTTGGGTTGGTTTGGTTTTTGGAACATTTCCTTGGACTGCAAGCGAACCTCATCCATCTGGAGCTTGATGCAGGTGTATACAAAACATCGAGTATGCCTGTAGTTGAGGTCGAACCCCATATTCCCCTATGCCTACATAGGGCTCCCAGAGGGATTTCTTTTGTTGTTGATCCAGAGCAGTAGTAATACGTGTCGGAGATAGCAGTCATACCATGCTGAAACATTCTCCTCAAAGCTTGAGTGCAGCTTAGACCCCCCATCTTGGGAGCTTGTCCTCTATAATCTCATCCTGTGAGCATCGAATGCACCAGTGGGATAGAAATGATATTCAGACCAATCTGCGGAGTAGAACTTCGTAGATCGTCGCTAGGTCATCTCCAGCTCAAATACGATGTATTCATCTACATATAGATATCTAGAGTTCGTTGGGTTTCTAGCCGACTCTAGTGGGGTGACACTCGTATACTGGAACATTATGTTGCGGGTATAGCTAGCGCTGTGGCATTTTTGTGTCGGATATCCGTAGTCTTCGAGCCCTATTCTACCTCCTGGAACATGTCGTTTTGAGACGTTGAACTACTACCCATCACTTTGAAATATCGAGATTTAGATAACCCACGAAATATGGTTTTGAGACGGGCTTGTTGCCTGAAATTGGCAGCACGAAGAGCGCTCCAGAGTTCTTCATGACTATTGGGGAAACATAAAGCGTTTGATGATGTATGTATCATTCGCCACAACATATCAAAGCCCGACGTTGTCCAAATTCTTTATCGCAAAAGCTGGCGTCATTAAATTGAAATTTGACATGATGTGTAAGAGGCTGCATATGATGGGACCTAATTAAAGGGGTCGTCCCCAGTGCGGCTATATCGCCCGCGAGACCTCTTTTGGGTTTAAGATATCATATTTAACATGTTCTGTGCCACGTATCTCATCTATTCGCGTCGGACATGTGAGATCGGTCGCTCGATTGGCGCCTCTTTGATATATATCTAGTCGGATTATCTACACCCGTGAAGCTAGGTCTGCAGCTCCATCGTTTTGTTGTATCTTTTCCCAAAGTCGACTAGTCAGCCGCATTTGATGAACCTAATCCGATTGCATATACGAGCTCGAGAAGGATGTTAGATTTTTAGGTCATAGCATCGATCAAGAGTCCCGGTCTAGAGTTCTGAAATGACAAAAATGGCTTTTCCGGATTGAAAGAGTTGTCGCAATAGTCTGATAGGTGTTGGTATATATATAGGTGTAAAATTCATGATGTTCTCTATCCTCCGCTCAGGTCGATATAATATACGATGGTAGAATCATTCGATGCTACCAATTGTGATCGCACAATAGTGCACCCGTATGCTGTCTTAATAGTATACAGACGATGGTAGCGATGTCTAGGTGCGCCTTATATATAGGAGGGCATGTACATGCGCTAAGCCCCGGTGTCGAACATCCGCAAGCGGTTTGTCGCCCAAGCTGTACTGTACCATCATAATTCGAGTAAGATACTGTCGTGGCACTAGCTTCGAATACCCTTTGTATAGCTAGGATGACAGTTTCCGTACGACATGTATTACTCGCTCTTGTGCGATTTTATTTCTATGGGATCTGAGATTGTATGAACTCATGGAGATATACGATCCGGACTCGATTGCATGCTTTTCTGATGGGTTAACCGGTTGTGAGTAGTAGTCAACAGAATGAGGGTCTTAATGCTGAATCACTCGGCTAGTGCTCGTGCTAATGCATTCAAAGTGCCAATCAAGGAAGGGCCGTTCAGGCGGAATCTATTGTTAGATAGCAATAGCCTTTAGACTTGAACCCTTCAGTTTGATCAGGTTTAGATCAAAGGATCATATGAGACCGGCAAAAAGCCTACTAGAAGATATTCATATTTCCAGTAGAATGTTGGCTTACGCCGCTAAACTGGCTGGTGCATACATTATGAATATCGGTTGGGATAATATAAGTGAAGTAACATAGGATCCACCCGAAGAATATTAGGGATATGGAAGCTGTCTCGGTATATATATCGCGATAAGGCTTACGTCCATTTCCTGGGCTTCTGCATGTCGGTTTGGTTGTATACATCTAGGTTGGAAATGCATTGCATCGCGGTTTTCCTGTTCGAGTGCTGACTTTATTCCTTGATACATTTCGAGGAATTCGATTATTCGGGTTCACACCCTTGATACTTCATGATATCTTGGGCTTCGGTAGATCCAAGGATTAGTAGGTACCAAGAATATAACTACTCAGGTAGGTATGGAGGTATATCTGTCTTCTGCATCTGCAGTGACTATATCTTTGGTATTTGTGGAATCATACTTCGGCTGGTGATGATCGCCGTCGAAGTATGCTATTAATTCTTCGTTCATCGAACAGTTCGTTAATATTGGTTGTTGGTGGGCGTTTGGCTTTGCCCTTGGTAAATTGTGTGTCCTGTGTGGTAATATAGACATCAAATCCATGATTGAAAGCTGTACAGTTGTCTAGTGTTGACGGATAGCTTTAATGGCACCATGTAAGCGCACTCGTATGAGAGTTTGCAAATCCCTTATTTATACCAATATAGATCCATAGCACCGCTAGAATGCCGGTGCTTGGGTCTTGTAAATTCTAACCCATGCACTTTTGATGTCATGAGCCCATAATATATAGTTTTTGGGATCCTGGTGCGTACGCGTACCACCGGCGTCATGAGTAGATATGAACTTATCTCCTTGGAAATGGACGCCTTTTAGTCTTCATACTCCCGCTTTGTAATCCTTTCCCGCATATTCTGGGATAATCCAAGGGTTCTTCTGCTCCTCCTGCCCCTCCATATTGATAACACAGCTTTTGAAGAGAAACGCTAGAGATTGGCTCCGGAGTCAAGGGTGCCGTGTGCATTTGACGGCGTTAATACCATCCGGATCGTCGGTTTGAGCTTCTTGACAACTCGACTTGTGTACTCATGGTTTTAGATGAAAACTCAGAAGTCTTCGAAGCGATAGTAGGTGCAACGGAGCCAAATATTTATCGAGTATTCTGGATAGGTCCATACCATTTGCGCCTGAACTCGAAGGTCTTTCATCCATATGCAGGCCAAATATGTTTTCGGTGTGGCTTCGTGGCAATTCAACGACCTTCGCGGCGCTTGTTGACGGCCCAGTGGGCTATGAAAGGGGGCCCTCCCTCGTGGCAACGGAGTCTGAAATGGAGAGCATCATGCCATTTTTGTCATAAGCTCCCGGTCATGTGTTTATTGTTGGGGTTTCTTTTTCTAGGTCTGAAACTCGAAGAATCCACACGTATATACAGAACGCCATGGGGTGCTAGGCGCCTCCCTCTCGGTAGTCAGAGTAGCTCAAGGTGATGGAGTGATTTATACCATCAAGTTTGGAGAAACTGACCACCGCTGGGTGAATGCATCGATGGGGCTTTACAAGGATATTAAAGCCGTAACCTATATTGTATGAAAATTTATCCCCGTAGATTTGTAATTTATAAAAGAAAGCTTAAGAGGAGTATGATTATTGTTCCTGGTGTTATTTGTTGCTCATCATTTTTAGGTAGTGTCATCTTTTGCTCTAGTCCCGTGGGCGGATCTAGCGTAAAAGAGAAGACTGGAATCCAGTCATGGGATAGTCGAAATTTGTTGGTTAGACCCTCGAGAGAGAAGGGCCAGCGCATTTGCAACGCCCAGCGGTGTCCCACCCCTCTCAATCTAGCATTTTGCCACCGCCGTTGCAGTGTGGTTCCTGAAAGATATTGATAATAGGTATAGATATGACAGTTTGACACTATTAAGAAGTGCAATGTGGTACCGTGTGAACAGGTCGGTAAGAGCACCTCTAGATCTAGGGCAATATAGCCGGTGGTTTATATTCTGTAGAAACACTAAACACTGTGGCGTAGTGTCGATCTATAGGAATATAATCGAACCGGATCGATTTAGCTATAGGAGCTTTATAGGCTATCGATCGTTCAGGGTACTTGGATGAAATGAAAGCTTCGTGAACTTCTAGGGCAACAACTAGCCCAGAAAGTATCAGAAGCATAAATAGACGCGTCATGTCCTCGTATTCTTGAGGTGAACGGTTGAATGCTATGATCGGTATTTCACGCCTGCCGTGAGGATCGAAACTTGGTGACGAGAGAAAGCCAAGATGCATGGTGGTATTACTGATTACTAGGTGAGGACTTTGTCGTGGTTGGGTGCTCATTCCGGTATGCTCTGGAGCTCGTTGCGGATATGTATGTAGCTCCATAATTTGATGGTAACATCTTATTTCCTCGCGCGGCTTCAGAGAACCAACTAGATGTAATGCTGGGGAGGCTGGTGGTCGGTGACGAGAAATCCGGAGGAGGATGAAGAAGGTGGAAGAACAGTGGAGGTTAGAAGAAAATGGAGAGTACAGAAATTTCGAAAGGAAGGTGAGGGTTGATGGTTTCTTTGGCTTAAGTGCCAACTTTAGAGCCAGTCTCGGCACTGAGACTGCTTCAGAGCAATGTTTGAAATTAGCTGAACTACTAGCCCAATCCCCCAAGCCAGACGGCACGCACACGGGGTCTAGCATAGATCAAATCCCAATCAGATTATACTCCATCGGCTCGAGCTTATGACCATCCTTCAGTAAACTAACCTTAGCAGCGTAGAACTGCTCCCATAGATGTCTCTCTTATGATCTCGACTTTGATTATCCTCCATCAAACTAAAATTAGCCCGACAGTTCGCCGTGAACTCGTTGTCGAGGCCGTGGGTTGGCTGTTGGACTTCCCAACTAGGTAGTCATGCTGTGCGACACGAGATACCACGCAACACAACTGCGGGGCTAGTTGGGAAGGATCGATAGATCTTCTACCGACTTAATCGTTTCAGTACCCCGTTTTGAGGATTCGTTGGTGCTCTGGTAGCTATGATATCAGTACCACTGTTGTGCAATGCTTCCGAATCCGG